CGTCGGGTTTGTGAATCATGAGAGAGAATCTCTGGCATTTGTCGCACTTTCGGACGAATTATCTGGTGTCTTTTTCCATGTTGTCCCAATAGTAGCCTGCTCTAATCACCTTCCGAACCAAGGAGTCGACACCAGAATGATTTCCGTAGGTACCATCGTGGATCTATCGGAGTACATAATCTATGTCACCTGGCCCTAAGCATATGGCCAGGGGGAAATCGAAAGTTCTCCTGTACAGAGTCTCATTTTCGTCGAGTGAGAACCAGGCTGCTTTGGTTCGTAGGGCCCTCGTTTCTTTTGGATCTGCGGGCAACTTCCCGTCTTTTAAATAATCAATATACTTATTTCTCCAGTCCCATGTTAGACTGGTGGAATTTATCTCTGCGTGACCTTCCTCGACTATTGATTTAAACAATTGGACAACAACTCTGGGAAGTAGGTCCTCTTCTTCAGCAGAAGATCCTAGATTTGCCAGGGCATCGACCTCGCTATTTTGCTCTCGAGGTACATGGACTAAGGTCCATTCTTTGAACCACCGTAATGCGATTTGGATTTTGTCCAAGTATCTCTGCATCCTGTCCTCTCGAGCTTCGTAGATCCCATTCACATGGCTTACTACGAGGAGCGAATCGCATTTTGCCTCGACGGTCTCGGCTCCCAAGCTTTTGGCCAATTATAAACCTGCAATGATACCCTCTTACTCGGCTTTATTGTTAGTCAATTTTGTGGTTTTTATGGATTGTCTAATTACGCCGCCAACTGGTGGCTTTAGGACTATACCGAGCCCGGATCCTCTTATGTTTGTGGCGCCGTCTCTGAATAGGGTCCATACCCCGGAGGACATGCCTGATTTTAACAAAAGTTCCCTTTCTACCTCGGGTACAAGGGATGGCGAGAAATCGGCCATGAAGTTCGCCAAAATTTGGGACTTGATGGTCGTTCGAGGTTGATACTCGATATCATACCCTCCAAGTTCGATGGCCCATTTGGCCAATCGGCCCGATAGCTCGGGTTTATGCATTATGCTCCAGAGAGGTGTGTCGACAGAATGTAGATACGGTGACATTGAGAATAGGCTTCAGCTTACGCGAGGCGCTTATCAGCGCAAGAGCCAATTTTTCTAGATGGGTATATCGGGTTTCGGCGTCCCCCAGGGTTTGGCTTACATAATAAATAGGAAATTGTGTACCTTGCTCCTCTCAAACCAGTACACCGCTTACCGCTATTTCAGACACGGCCGGGTACAGGTATAGTGTTTCATCCTCCTTTGGCGTGTGCAGCAAAGGTAGGCTAGTTAGGTATCATTTTAGCTCTTCTAGGGCGTGTTGGCATTCTGAAGTCCATTCGAAGTTGCTCTTTCTTTTGAGTAAATAGAAGAAATGATGGCTTTTTTTTGATGACCTTGATATGAATCTGCTCAGGGCTGCTATCCACCCTGTTAGCCGTTGGACGGTTTTTATATTGTTCACCACAATGATTTCTTCGATAGCCTTTATTTTGTCGGGATTGATCTCGATTCCCCTGTTTGAAACCATGAAGCCCAGGAATTTTCCCGAACCCACTCCGAAGGCGCACTTCTCGGAGTTGAGCTTCAATTGTAACTTCTGAGGATATCAAAATTTTCCTGCAAATGGCTCAAATGGCCATCTACGCGCAGGGACTTAACTAGTATATCATCAATATATACGTCCATTGATTTACCTACTTGATGCTCGAACATTTTATTAACTAGGCGCTGGTACGTTGCCCCTGCGTTTTTTAGCACGAAGGACATTACGTTGTAGCAGTAGGCACAATACTTCGTGATAACGAAGTTTTTTCCCTGGCCTCGGGGTTCATCTGGATTTGATTATACCCTGAGTAGGCATCAAGAAAGGTGAGGGTCCCATGGTCGGCCATATCATCAATCAGACGATTGATATTAGCCAATGGGAAGGAATCTTTGGGGCACGCCTTATTCAAATCTTTATAATCTATGCACATTCTTAGCTTGTTTCCCTTTTAGGCACTACTACTACGTTGGATAGCCATTCGGGGTACTTTATCTCTCTAATGGATCCGATTTTAAGAAGTTTCGTTACCTCTTCTTTGAGGAAGGCATGTTTTACCTCGGATTGTGGTCTTCTCTTCTACTTTACGGGTTTAAATTTGGGATCGACGCTTAGCCTGTGGGAGGTTTTTTATGGTGGAATTCCTATCATATCTAAGTGGGACCAAGCGAAACAGTCGATATTGTTACTAAGAAATTGAATGAACCTTGTCCTGTGTTCGAGGGTCAACCCCGTTCCCAGGTATACCTTACGATCTGGGAGGTGCTCGATTAAAATGGTTTGCCCCAGCTCTTCGACTGTCGATTTAGTCGCGTTCGATTCTTCAGGGGCGACGAAGGTTCGAGGAGCGAAGAAATCTTCCTCGTCGTCCTCGGGGGCCTGTGTGTTCCTAACCTCGTCCGAGATCTAGCACGTGGGGATCGACGCCTTATATTGGACTGCGAACATTTCTTTCACTATCCGTTGTTCTCCATGTTTGGTCGTGATGCCATCCTTTGTGGGAAATTTATCACCTGGTGTAAGGTTGACTGTACTGCCCTCATGTTGTGTATCCAAGGCTTACCGAGTAATGCATTGTACCTCATGTCATCGTCGATGACTTGAAACTCGGTGTTCTGAATCATGCTGGACGTGTCGATCGAGAGAGTTATATCTCCTTTCATTACTCCGCCGGTCATGTTGAAGCCATGGAGGACTCGAGGGATGGGGGCGACTCGATTGAGCAGCCCCAGTTGTTCTACTACCTCTGATCTAATTATGTTGGCCGAACTGCCTAGATCCACGAGCACGCACTTTATCCTGGTATTGGTTAAAAGAAACGAGATCACCAGTGCGTCGTTGTGCAATTCTATCATGGCCTCGAGGTCCTCCTCGCTGAATGCGAGGGTGTCTTCGGGCACGCGATTTCGGGTCGGTCCCTCTTCCGTGGTCGACGTTCTCCTCCGATTGAACATGGGTCCTTGGGGAACATCGGTTCCTCCAATAATCATGTGGACGTCATGTCGAAGAGCCTCTCCCCTTCCGCCCGGGTTGAGTTTAGTGGTGTACGGACATCTAGAGTAGTCATGTCCTTCTCTTTGCTGTTTTCGAGGTTCTTGTTCCCCATTCTGTTCACCGAGCCAGATATTTTATCCTGAAATCGAAGATCTTGGACAAGAAAAAGTGTGAAAGATAACTTGCGTTGTGTAGCGAAACCAGCAAGAAAATAATCACTATTATTTTTAGCCCCACGGTGGGCGCCAAACTGTTTATCGTGAAAATGGTAATAACAATTAAATTTGCTGATGGGACTCTAAAAATACGTGATCTATTTTTATGCTCGTTGTTAAAGCAGTTGATGCTAGATATATGAAGATAAAAGATAAAGCGCGAACTAGAATAGAGCTGTGATCGAACCGAGGGGCTTGCTGTCCGGGCCTTGGACCAACTGATAAGGGGTCTCGAGGTCGATGCTTGGGCTCGGACTCGAGCTATCGGGGATAATCAGGAAGGGGCTAACAGTTAGGATATAATTAAAGGAGGCTCTTTATGGCCAATATCAAGCATTAAATGAAGAACAAGTATGAAGGCAATAAATAAAAGAGGTAGTCTCGAGCGAGTAAGTTAGAGAGAAAAGAGAGAGAGTTGTTATTGATCTTGTGTAGAACAGTTGGAATAACAGAGTTTACAAAGTGCCAAAGATCCCTCTTATATAGGAGGGGATATCCAAACATGGTACAAGAGTGCATTAATTACAAAGGTATGGAGATGGGACGGCCAGACGCGATACCAGGCTCCGCTAGTGCCATCGTTCATCTTGGGAACTCCCCTCTCCCGTACTATAGCCGTTAACACGCAATGCCCCCCAAGGCCGGTACCCGACGACTCCCGAGGGTGGGTCTTGACCTTGGCTTCGAGCCTCGAGAAGCATGCCCGCGAGGCGACCTAATGACGGAGAAATTGGGCCCCCGGTTTTACCACATACAAGGTTGATGTTTTGAGAAATGTTACTCTCCTAAAGACAATGTGTTTGTCTTAGTTTAAAGTGTCGACTTTTAGTTCAAAATTTTGGAGGTTAATTTGATAAGTGTGCTATTTTGACCTTTTTGTAAAGAGATTTTTTTTAGTTCATTAAAGTATTTATGAGCTAGAATTTTGAAGAAAAAAGAGGTGAAAAGAAAAAGGAACAGAAATTATTGTAAATTTATATTAAGAGATAGGAGTAAAATATATCCATTATATCACCACTTACCACAGAAAAGGCTAAAGAAAATAATAACAATTGGCGAAGTTATATGATGGTGCTTTCTTGTGTTGCTTTTAACAAATATCTAAGGTGACCAAAGTCATTGTTTAGAATTTTGGCAGAGGAATGGGTCATCAACAATACTAACAATTGTATAATGGTTTAAATTAATACAATACTGCTATTGTCCTCTCTAATTCTTTTTCATTTTGTTATCGATAATCTTATGTGTGTAATCTGTAAAAAAATTCAACAATTCTTCGCGGATTAAACCAAGGCAAGCTGTGTTAATGCTCAATTGTTTTTTAAAATTAAGTGTTTAAAATTTTGGATACCCCAACGTTCATAGTTATGTGCTGTAGCATGAATTGAAAAGCTCATTTTGGAGAAATTTGGTCACAAAGTCACTCCCCTCATGGTTTGTCTCGATTACCAATATGATCACATGCATACCTCTTTCCCCCGCTTCTCCATTAAAATCTGTTTCGTCCAGAATTCCTGAACGGCTCACCTAGAATAACTGTAGCCAATTTGTAGTTGCGCTTACCAATGCTCTAGTATCAGTATTCCTTGATTAATCAAAGCTATCATGCATTATTTAATTAAGTACCCCTTGCTTTTTATATAGATAGTTGTAAGTTAAAATTTCATACGTTGGGTGGATACTAATGTACCCCGCTATTGTTGACTGGAAAACTAAATGTATTTTTGTGAACTTTGATTAGGTTATCATTTCAGATGTTAAATCAACTAAAAGCGAAGAAGTAAGTATATTGATAAAATCTCCATTGTTGATAAACTATTGTGCAACCTATTGTCTTATTATCTCTTTCGTGGAAGCTGGTGTTATATTTTCCTTTGTATAGCATTTGGCAATAATTCCCAGCTATTTGGTTGAATAAGGACATGGACATCATGAAACCTGACAAGGAATGTTTGCCATATATTATGTTGCCTTTTCCAGTCACCTTACCATTAACCATCCATAAATTTATTAGGAAGCGATCAATACTTATTCAGTCTATGTTCGTCGTTCTACTTTATTATTCACTAATATCTACTTTTGTACTGTACTCAATTTCATTTTTTTTCTTCATCGGTGTTTACCTACTTTTTTCAGGTGCCCCAAAATCTCTTTATGTTGTGCTTTTTGGAATGCAAAAGATTGGCTACTAAGGTGGGGAAGATCCAGTTCCTAGAAAATGATAATTTAGGATATGCATGTGTTGTACTGAAAATATGGATAATATATGTATTTTTTAGAGGTATGATGTATGTAATAATTAAATATGGATGGTTTCACTAGATAATGCACTTATGTTATATAAACGAATGCTATTAAGCACATATAGTAGAACTCTTATGCTAAATCTCAATTCTTGGAAGTAATATAGCTTAGGAAGTACTGAATGATCTACATATGGTTCCTTCGACCTTTTTGTGGTCTTCATTGTTGCGATTGATTTTCCATATCTTGGTTTTTGAGGAACTTGAAGGTGATTAGCTGAAGAAGAATTCATGTTGAGTTAGATGCTATAGCTCAAAGATAAAAACAAAGTTATAATTAAGACTAAACAGTGTAATGCCCAATATTTTTATCATACCATATTGATTTATATTCAACTTCTGTATTGCAATTACTTGATGTCATTCCCATGTTGGGCCCGTGGTTGCTTCGGTTTCTAGTATTGATAAAATTTGCTACTCATATGTATACTTTCTCGAATAGTTGTGTTGGAATCTCTGTTTGTCAACTACCTGCTTTCATGGACTAACAATCAATAAATGAAGACATACACATAAAGAGGGTAGAGAATTACATGCAAAGATCAGGGTTCAAATTTCAGCATATGTATTTTTTAATAACCTTATTGAAATTAATTGGAAAATTTAATCAAATAGAAGATATCATCAAATATAGTTGGCTAAATCGTAGTACTTGTTAATGGAGTTTGAGCAACTTTTATGGCAAAGTTTTCTAATGTCTGCCGCTAAATTTTTGTGACACTAACGTTTTCTTTTTGCTAAATTTCACAGTATTGTTTATCGCGATCGTGGAGCTTTTTGGCGCGATCGCAAAGGAAAAAATATGCTGGACATTTTTGGAATTGCGACTGCGAGGATAGTGACCGCGATCGCGAAGAAGTACGACTGGAAGGGCTTTAAACCATTCAATTTCGCGATTTTGAGTTTATTTTTCTCACTTTTTGAATTCTTGAAACTTAAGTAAGCGATTTTGGAGGAGATAAACATCCAAATCATGAGGGTAAGTAATTTTATATATGTTTTGATTATATATTTTATTTTTGATTATTACATCTAGATCAAGGATTTGAATAAATTGAGGGTTTTTTACTTGAACTTAAGAGAATGAATTTTGGGTTTTGAACATGAAATTGAGGTTGGATTTGAAAATCATATATGTGTGTATATATATATGTAACGATTCGGTCGGTCGTTTCGTGAGTTATAGCCTTGTTTTCCCTATTTGTGCTTCTTTTGTTCTTTACAACTACATTATATTGTATTAGGTTGGTTGGTTTGGGTATGGAGTGGTTCCAGAGAGAAATTGAGACACTCTTTTTATTAGAAGCTTAAGTTGGAAGAGTTAACTGGATGTTGACTTATGTATAAGCAATCTTGAATTTGGATGTTTATAGCTTTGTTAGCTCCGTTAGGTGATTTTGGACTTAGGAGCGCATCCGGAATGTGATTTAGAGGTTCGTAGTAGAATTAGGCTTGAATTGGCGAAAGTTGAAATTTTGGCGATTTTGATAGGTAGTGAAACTTTTGGTATCTAGGTCAGAATAGAATTCTGAAAGTTGGAATAGGTTCGTGGTGTTATTGTTGACTTGTGTGCAAAATTTGAGGTCATTCGGACGTGGTTTGGTAGGTTTCGGCATCATTTACGGAATTCAGAAGTTTAGAAGTTCTTAGGCTTGAATTTGAGTGTTATTTGATGTTTTGATGTTGTTTTGAGTTATTCGAAGGTTCGACTAAGTTCATATGATGTTATGGGATGTGTTGGTATTTTTGATTGAGGTCCCGAGGTCCTCGGGTTGATTTCGTGTGATTAACGGAACAAGTTTGGAAATTGAAAGATTGCTGAAAGTGAAATCAGCTGTTATATTGCTCCTCACAGGTGCGAGCCCGCAGAAGCGAGCAAGGGACCGCAGATGTGAGATTGGAGGAACTGGGCAGAAGGCACATGTGCGTGTTTGGACCGCAGGTGCAATGGGATTCCGCACTTGCGATGACCGTATATGCGATAAACTGATCGCAGAAGCGAAGACTGGATTTTAAGTGGATTTTCGTAGAAGCGGAGCTTGGTACAGATATGCTGACCCTCATATGCGCAATTTGTACAGCAGGTGTGATTTTGCCGGGCAAAAAGCATAAATAGAGGACTTCGGGAATTCTTCTCATTTTCACATTTTTGAACATGAGATTTGGAGATTTTGAAGAGATTTTTGAAGAGAATTTGAGGTTTACCCTGAGGTAAGTTTCTTGAGCCTAACTATCCTTAGCAATGGGGTTTTCCGATTAATTTCTCACTTGATTAGTGAGGGTTTGAAGTGAAAATTGGGGGTTACAACTTGGGAATTTTGGAGAGTGAATTATGGGGTTTTTGAGGGACAAATGATGTCGGATTTTGATGAATTTAGTATGGTTAGAATCGTGAGTGAATGAGCTTTTGGGTTTTGTGACTTTTGTTGGATTTAGAGAGGTAGGCCTGGGGGGGGGGAGGGGGGAAGAGTCGAGTTTGAGCCAATTTCGGATTTTGATTCTAATTTAGTAGTTTTTCTTGTGGAATTGATTCCTTTAGCATATATTAATGGTATTGTACTGCTTGTGGCTAGATTCGGGATGTTTGGAGGCTGATTTGAGAGGCAAAGGCATCACGAAGTAGGATTTTGCTCGGATTGAGGTAAGTAGGAGTTATAAATCTGGTCCGGAGGGTATGAAACCCCAGATTTTGTGTCGTATGACTATTTTGGAGATGATGCACATGCTAGGTGACATAGGTATGGGCGTGCACTGAAGGGATTGTAACTTTGTCTATCCCGTGAGACTGTGGAATTGAATAGCTTATTGTTTATTACATGTTCCCTTTTTTCATGGAAATTGACTGCACTTCATCTTAGAAATCATGCTTAGGCCTTATGTTATCACTGTTGAGACCTGTGAGGTCGTGTATTTGCTGAATTAGCTTCTAATTGCTGTCTTGTACTCAGTCATAGCTTCTTTTGCTTATTATGCCTCTGGCTCTTACTATGCATTATTGATACATGACATTATCTTTTTTGGGGGCTACTTTATTTGATTTTTGAGAGCCCGAGAGACTATGGAGGTTGATGACTGAGTGAGGCCTAGGGCCGAGTAGTGAGATATTGATATTATGGCACGTGAGTTATCCGTGCAACACGTAAGTTGTCGGTGCTGATTTTGGTGTGATACTATAGCACGTGAGTTGTCCGTGCGTGCCTTGTTTTGATATTGTAGCACGTGAGTTGTCCATGCAGCACGTGAGTTGTCCGTGCGGATCATAGTGCTTGGGCTGAAGGAGCCCCTCCGGAGTCTGCACACCACAGTGAGTGCAGGTATCTATTGAGTATGATTATTGAAGACTGAAAGCCGAGTGATTGAGCTCGAGAGACTATATTTGCTTTCAACTTTTGTTGCACTTAGCTGTTATCTATCCATGTTGTGTAACTCTCTAAAAGACTTTATAGCTGGATACTTGAGTATGAACTGATTTGACTTAAATTGCTAAATTTGAAAGCATGCCTATCCTTTACTAAAATTTGCTGAAATAAATTTTATTTTCATAGCTCGTCACTACTTCTCAGTTCCCTATTTATTTCTCTTACTTACTGAGTTGGAATTACTCACGTTAACCCTTGTACATTGTGTGCAGATGCAGGTAAGACCGGTCACGAAGGTCGTTAAGTTCGTGCGTAGGTGACTGTCGGAAATCTACGAGGTGGCTGTCGGTGTACGTAGCTCTTGTCTCTCCTTCTATTGTTATATTTTCTATTTGTTTTGGTATTCGGTGGACTATTATAAACTTTGATTCTGGATTTGACCCTACATATTCATGACTTAGTGACACCCCGATGTCGGGCTATCTTTTATGTATTTTTATTATGAGTTTAACTCTTCTTATGAAATCTTTGTTATGAACAGGTTTTGAACTATCTTCTTGTATATTATCGATGTGTATTGGAAATGTCAGCTTGCCTAGTACCACGATAGGCTCCATCACGACGAGTTAGGTATGTGTATTGGAAATGTCAGCTTGCCTAGTACCACGATAGGCTCCATCACGACGAGTTAGGTATTTGGATCATGACAAGTTGGTATCAGAGCTTAGGTTACATAGGTCTCACGAGTCATGAGCGGGTTTAGTAGAGTTTTGCGGATCGGTACGGAGACGTTTGTACTTATCTTTGAGAGGCTGCAGAACCTTTAGGTAAAAACTTCACATTCTTGAATTCTTGTCATGTGAATTTGTTGATTCTGGTAACTAATCTTCTGGTAGTCGATTCTCTCACAGATGGCAAGGATGTGCTACCAGGTAAGAGGGACAGCCACCGGTACCACCAGTTCGGGCCGTGAGAGGCCGAGGTCGCGATAGAGGATGTGGTAGGGGCAGGGGTGTAGCCTGCATAGCAGCTAGGGCAGCACCTGCAGACCAACTAGTTGCCCCAGTTCAGGATCTGGTTCCGGTTATGGATGCCCCAGCAGGACCAGCTCAGGCACTAGCTGTGCCCATTATTATTCCAGGCCTTCAGGAGGCCTTGGCTCATATCTTGACCGTGTGCACCAATCTTGCTCAGGCGGTCTCTATTCCGACCGCAACAGCCACTTTTCAGGCTGAGGGAGGTGCTCAGACTCCCACCGCCCGCACACTCGAGTAGGTGGTAAAGGGACTCCAGACACCGGGGTTACCACCAGCCCAGTCGATTGCACCTGCTCAAGATTATGTGGTTCCAGTTATGCCTGATGATGAGCACCGTAGATTGGAGAGGTTTGGTAGACTTCAGCCTCCGACTTTCAGTGTTGCAGAGGACGAGGATGCCTAGGGTTTCTTGGATAAGTGTCAGAGGATTCTTTGTACAACAGGTATTCTGGAGACTAGTGGGGTCTCGTTCACTACCTTTCAGTTCTCTGGAGCTGCCTTCACATGGTGGGAGGCTTATGAGAGGCGTACGCCTGTTGGTGCAGCGTCCCTTACGTGACAACAGTTCTCCATTCTCTTCGTAGAGAAGTGTGTGCCGCAGTCCCGCAGAGTGGAGCTGCGCAGACAGTTTGAGCAGTTGCGTCAGGATCATATGACTGTGATGCAGTATGAGATGAGATTTTCTGAGTTGTCCCGTCATGCTATTTGGTTGGTTCCCACTGACAGGGAGAG